AGAGTCTGTAGAGTTTAGGGTTTAAGATTTTTTAGGGTTTAGAGTCTAGGGTGTAGGGTTTAAAGAATTTTCAGGACTTAAAAAGCCGTGACCTCATTATTACAAGCATTGTAGCTGCACTTGCTGATGTACGAAGGGGTTCAGCCAAGGCAGACGCGTTGCAGCGACTTCTTACCTTATCCCGGATTGCACCCTTCCCCCACTCTGTGTCCCGCTTACCACGCCCTACCCAAGCGACTTGGTATTCGCGCCCGCATAAATCCGACATCGGAGTATCTATTCGACCCCCCCCCCCAGCCCTGGGGCTGGGGCGGAAGGGAGATAAATGAAACGCGTCCAAGAACTTCAGCTGTGCGGCGATTGCAGGAAGTCATCTGCAGCGATGACAAGGCAGAGCATGTGTTTGGTTCTGTTTCGAGATTGTTCTTGCATTTCCTTGATATATACAGTAATGCTCAGGCAGACTCTCATGCTATGCATCGTTCTGCATGTTTTCATGTTCCTAACCCCAATAGACTCAACCGATATGATCGCGGCGCCGGGCTTGCCACAGATGGTCTGCATCATGCACGCAGCGTCATACGCTTTCGATGCACGGGAATGATTGAACAATCTTGAAAGGTTCTCTCAACCCGACAGAAGCACACAAACTATGACGTTATACATGTCAACGCGGTCGGTCTTCTTGAGATGTCCGCTCCAGGAGAAGGAGCCTTTGCTGGCCATGTGGCTGCTGAGGTTCCGCTTGAGGGTCACTGTTCCGGGGCCCTGTGTTGCAAATCCTGCTGGTACCAGGTTCGCTAGAGTCTTTACTACAGAGGCCTGAGTTTTTAAGCACAGTGTAGGGCTCCCTCTGTGTTTCAGTACATATCAAGTACATACCCCAAACCCGTTTCATTTGTCAAGCCCCCTAGACTTGGCGTCAGGGAGCTTCAAACCGTATCAGTAGGCGCTCGTTGCATCTCTTTCCTCGTGGCTCAAGCGAAGTTTTTCGCTGACAAGGTTAAGAGCAAAATGCAAAGACAGCCAAAGTGTTCCTACCAACCTCCCACTCCTCCGGCATGGCCCCTATTTGAGCAGTTCCGAGCGTCCTCAAGCTAAGTTGTTCAGATTATGCCGTCTAAGACAATCGAGGTGGTTGCGGCTCACCCTCTAGCCCAAACCTATGGAGCAGCAGGTAGACTGAACACCCCACAAACCGAACTTGCAGCCATCCCTCAAAGGCTGCCTCCATTACACAAATCTGTACACAGCCACCCCAAGGCCGTGCATTTGAGCATGACATTTCCTGCATCAGCAAATTCAAATGTCATTGCCCTCAACTCAAAGTCCTAAACCCTAAACACACAATGAAACGTCAAAAGCACAACTCTTTCCCAACCTTCGCTCTCCGCGACCGTGCGTGCGGCACGATGCAAATGCTTCGAGGCCGGATCCGCCGAGTTTTGCCAGAAGGGTCTAGGGCCTTACGGGTTGAGGATTAGGGTTTAGGGTTTACCCATAGGCCCCATAGTAGTTCCTTGTTGGGATTACGTAATAGGATCCCTAATATAAGCCACAAAAAGGAACTACTATGGGGCCTATGGGTAGGGCCGGTAGGGCCGTGTGGGTTAAGGATCAGCGTTTACGGTTGGGCTTCGGCCTGAGGATGAGAGTTTCGGTTTGTTCAAGGCTTGCCGATTTAACGTATAGGGTTGTGGGTTCCGGTCCGGGGTCGAGGATTGGGGGTTTAGGGTTTAGGGCTGCATTTTGTGTTGGTCGTTTTCGTACGGCGGGGATGGGTCGGAAAGACATTGATCGGCTACGGCTTGGGGCGCGGGGGGTTAATGAAGCTGCAAGCAAAATGAACCCGGAACAGGTTCTACTAACTAGCATGCTATTGCAAACCCTGAGCTCTCAAGGGTCCCTAGCCCTAGACCCTCATAAACTTCTCGAAGCTCGAAACCCGGTTGAAGCTGGCAGCTCTTTTGAGTTTTGAGCGTGTTTGGTGTTCGGGCTTGGCAGGGTCTCATCGAATAAATAAACACTATAGGGGCCTAAATTATTACCTATACTATTTGGGGGGTTCCTTATTATTGTAGTTACAGTAGAGTATATCCCAAAACCCTATTCCAATTATTCAGGCCCTCATTTTCCATCAAGAGCCCCGGTTCTTTGGCCTCAAACCCTGAAGCCCGGCCACATGTTACATCGAAGCTGAAGCTGTCGTTCTCGTATTCGGGTTTAGGGGTTTAGGGTTTAGGGTTTAGGGTTTAGGGTTGATTGTTGGCTTCAAGATTACTGCGAGTGCTCAAGGAACATAGTCCGCTAGTCCAAGCAGCGGCCCCGAACACTTCAGTGGCCCGGTTGGGTTTACGGGGTAGGGATCACAAGCAGGTGCTTTGGGAGATCTTTTCCATGAGTGGCGGAGTGCATCATCTTGCTGCGCTGGATCCTCGAAACCCTACAGGAAGCCTACCGCCCGACCGGCATTTCTTGCAGGAGTTGTCCGAAGAGCCTTGCCGCTGCCCCTCGCAAATGCGCGGTCCATGGCAGGCCCGTTGCTGCTGCGCTGACGTTCCCATTCACTGATGTTGGGCTTTAGGGCCGTTTAGGGTGTTCATGTTCGGGTTTGGGAGGTCGAGGAGGGAAAGGAGGTTCGAGGGTTGAACCGTTTTTACAAAGCTCAAGGAGCAGCTAATCTAGGGGCCTCAATAGTTACCAATACTTGTACTATGTCGGGGGGTGACTTATTTGACTATAGTATCATATGGGTGGTTCTCTAAATTAGGGTCCCTTTTAGGGTCCTTATTAAAATTACGGCACCTATTATTTAGGGTACCCCAAAGGAGACCATAATTTTGACAACTACCCATATACCCCAAAGCCCGTATTCTAGTTATTAAGGCCCCCGTAGTATTCGGATTTGTTGGGCAGAGACCTGGTGACCTGGGACGCAGCATTCCAAAGCTCAGTGGTGCGGTATCCATGCAAGACGGATTTGGTTTCTGCGTCTTAGGGTTTAGGGTTTAAGGTTTAGGGCCGTTTAGGGTTTAGGGTTTAGGGTTTAAGGTTTATGGGCTTAAGTCGAAACAGGATCAGAGAATGAGCCTTCGTGTTCTCCGAGCAATCAAGAATAAGACTCCATTTGCCGGCTTCTCGGATCAAGAGACTGCGGGTGCATGGCCGGAATAGTAAGGTCTAGAAGATATCGTTGTTCTGGCCAGTCGTTTATACCAGACATTCTACAGAGGAGGTCAAGACACATGCCGGAGTCGACCACCTTCAAGTGCACTGGATTTTGTTGTCAATAGACTCAATAGACGCACCCTAAACCCTCAACCCTAAACCCTAAACCCTAAGCCCTAGCCTAAACCCTAACCCTAAACCCTAAACCCTAAGCCCTATATAAACCCACCTCGGAGCTTCCTTTGCGCGGCGAATCCCGTCGCAGGTCCTCGCTTTGGGATCCTTCTGAAGTCTTGAAGACATTTGTTTAAGACTGCTGCAACGCATAACACACCCTAATTTAGGGTTTAGGGTTTAGGGCGTAGGGGCAAGGGCAAGACTTCAGAATTATAGGAAAGTGGAGCTACAGGTAAAGCCTGACCCTAAATCAAACATGGAACCAAAAGACCAAATCTTCAAGGAAGTCCCTGCCCGGAACAGATCAGCAGAGCATTGAGATGTCGCCCCCTTTGCGAATGTCGGGATCGGAGCAATTACAAATACATTGCTTAGGGTCCCCTTGTAGTATAGTCTACCCCCCAACACGCCTCTATTAACGATTTCAAGTCGCTAACTGCTAGATATGTGCTATAGCTTGACGTTTTGCCTGATTTTGACACCTTTCTTCGCCTCAGACTGATTCGCCTATACTATTTTGGGGGTCCCTCATTATAACTTTATGATAATATACCCCAAAACCCTATTCCAATTATTAAGGCCCCTACATTAACCCTCATAAATCCTCAGACTTTGATGTCCCGCAGGCCTGAGCTCGTGCGCCGCACAGCATAGTGCGTTGCCCCTGCAGGCCGCAGTTCAGTCAAAGCGCTGAGACCTAAACAGGCTTCAGGGCCCTAAACTCTAAACCTCAAAACTTCAGTGCTCTTAGGCATTGTGTTTATGTATTTAGCGATTCTTCAATCGGTTATCTCCAGTATAGTTGAAAGGGCACGGAAGTAAACCCAGACTCCAGATTCGAAGCCTCTTGAAGAATCCCGAAGCAAGGGATCAGCACTCGGGATGCAATTTAGCTTCCAGGGGCATTTGATATGTGGGCCTGATTTTTTTTAGTTAGCAATGATATCCCGCAGGGCTCCTTATCATTATCCGAGTATAGTGCACCCACCCAGCCAGACCCATTTCTAACTTATGGATGCCCGTCATCCGAGCCATCCCTAGCTTTGGATTGAAGGCAGAGTGCCTCACCACATGAGGAAAACGCAGGCCTGTAGAATTTTGGGCCTCTCTGCAGCCTAAACTACCTAAGGGCCATTTATACCCGATGGCCCTGTGTACCCGCAACCCTCAACGCTCCAGCGCAGCCCCCACGCCTGCAGTTGGCCCGTCTGCCGATGTGGATGCCAGAAGGTGAAGGCCCCTCGACGCCTCCAACGCCTTCAATGGTGTTGTGGGGAAATATTTGGAACAGGGGGATTTTTGGAGGATATGGTACTGTAAACCCTAAACCCCAAACCAAGACTACAAGTATCGTAGAAAAAACCTGAGGGCATCATTGCCCTAGGAGGTTTATGTTGGATCGTTTTCGGTGCAGGGCTGGCTTAGATTGGACCGAGTTGGAGCGAGTTCGTTTGGGTTTGGGTTTGAATGTATAATGCAGGGGCGTTAACAATATTAGAATAGGGCAAGCAGCCCCGCAAAAAAATCCTAAAGGGACCCTAGCATAGATCCCATATACGCCCCAAACTCAAAATGCATCCAAGTTGCCTGACCTGAGGCAAGACACCCAAAAGGAGACCTCCGCCGCCTCAGCCCTTTCGTGGTGCGCTTGACAGGATGGACGCCTGGAGGAGGTGCTGACAAAGGAGAGCCGGGAGGGGCGCTGCTTGGATCTCCCGGAAAGAGACGTCGCACGAGAAGTAGAAGAGTTTAGGTTTGTGTCACATCAGAAAGATCTCCTGGTTGCAAAGGTAAGTGCTTCAACGGCTATGGTCCATGGTTCAAGCGATTTTCAGACAGACGCCTCTCCAATTTTCTCGCTGGTGGTTGCTGCCATGCCTCCAGTGCAGTCGCGCTTCGCTGCAGCTGGCCTTGTCGCTGGCCTTGCAGCCTCTGCTTTCGTCGCGCCGTCCACACGCGGAGACCGTCAGCTCCGGGCCGGTGGGGCCTCAAAGGTCCCCGCTCGTACACCAGTGTCTCAGCAGAAAACTGGGGACGGCTTGGCTGCCCTCGCAATTCTGGGAGCTGGCTTGGCCGCCGTGCGTGGATCCCATACACAGGTCAACGCTGCTGCTGCCG